TATAATAACTATATAAAATATATACTTTATTAGAGGGGAGGGTGTAGCTCATGTGGTAGAGCACATGCTTAGCATGCATGAGGTCCTGGGTTCAATCCCCAGTACCTTCCCTATTTAAAAAATATAAAAATAAATAAACCTAATTACCTCTCTCAGGAAAAAAATAATAAAATTTTTTTTAAATATATACTTTATTGAAGTATAGTTGATTTACAATGTTGTGTTAATTTCTGATGTACAGCACAGCAATTCAGTTATATATATATATATAGATACACGTATCTATATTAGACACACGTACATATATCCACTTGAGCATTCCCTATCTCAGCTCATAGACACCACCGTCTGCCTAGTTAGTCAGTTGAGAAACCAAAGGGCCATCTCTGACTCCTCCCTCTTCACCACTGTCACAACCATCTGTCGCAAAGTTCTTTCATTCTGTCTACAAATTGTAGCTTAAATCTTCTCACATATGCTTCACTCCACTACTGGAACCCTAATAAAAACCATCACGAGTCTGGCCTGGACCATTGCAGCAGCCTCCTAACCAGGTGTCCTTCCCCTTTATTTACTACACTATAGCCAGAGTGGTCTTTAAGAAATATAAACCCCTATTCTGTCACTCCCATGCTTGAAAAATCTTTAATGATCCTCCCATTGTCTTTAAGGATGTAGTCTAGATGTCTTGTGGCTTACAGGACCCTGTGCAGTCTGGTCTCTGCTCACCTCTCTGGCCTAATCTTCTAGCACTCATCCCTCATACTCTGTTCCTCACCCCAGCCCCAGCTGTCCATTTTAATTCACTTGTACGTTTATCAAAATTAAGATGACAACCCCATTTTGTCAGTTGCTTAGGCCCCAAACTTTGAAGTTACCCTTGACTTCCTCTGCCTCTCTTACCTCATTTAAGAGCTTTTGTGTCCTAAAAGTCTTCCCAATTAGTCTCCTCTTTTCCATTTCTAATTAACCACCATGTTAGTCCAAGCAACTAATCTGAACAGGAGAAAGTAAGTTGAGTTTGAAGTAAACTCATGACCTCAGAACATATTGAGTATATGTTGTCACATTTTTCTACAAATACAATAAGCAGAAGTGATCTTAATATGCACAATAAAAAATTTCAATTAACTATAGCTATATTCTCATCCCTAGTTGAGCCCTCAAAGAACCAGATGTGATGTGGGGCTCTGAAGGTGAAGGCCAAGAAACTATAACCAGTTTGGAGTCTTTTAAAAAAATGATTGATTTGCATACAGATGGCTAACAGGCACATGAAAAGATGTTCAGTATTGCTAATTATCAGAGAAATGCAAATCAAAACCACAATAAGGTATCACTTCACACCAGTCAGAATGGCCATCATCAAAAGTCTACAAATGGTAAATCCTGGAGAGGTTATGGAGAAAAAGGAATCCTGCACTGTTGGTGGGAATGTAAATTGGTGCAGCCATTATGGAAAACAGTATGGAGTTTCCTTAAAAAACTAAAACTAGACTCATCATATGATCCAGCAATCCCACTCCTGGGCACATATCTATAAAAGATGAAAACTCTAATTCAAAAACATATGCACCCCGGTGTTCATAGCAGCACTGTTTATAATAGCCAAGACATGGAAGCAACCTAAATGTCCATTGACAGATGAATGGATAAAGAAGATGTGGTATATGTTCAATGAAATATTTCTCAGCCATAAAAAAGAAGGAAATAATGCCATTTGTAGCATCATGGATGGACCTAGAGATTATCATACTAAGTGAAGTAAATGAGGCAGAGGAAGACAAATATCATATAATACCACTTATATGTGGAATCTTAAAAAAATGATACAAATGAACCTATTTACAAAACAGAAGTAGACTCCCAGACCTACAAAACAAACTTATGGTTACCAAAGGAGAAGAGGGGAGTGACAAATTAGGAGTTGGTGATTAACATAAACACATTAATAAAAATAAAATAGATAACCAACAAGGATATACTATAGCACAAGGAACTATATTCAGTATCTTGTAATAACCTGTAATGGAAAAGAATCTGAAAAAGAATGTATACATTCTTTATATATAGTTATATATATAAAACGAATCACTTTGTTGTACACCTGAAACTGATACAACATTGTAAACCAACTATAATGCAATAAATAAATAAAACAAACAAACAAACAAACAAATAAATAAATAAATAAATAAATAAAATTTAAGTGTCTGATTTAAGGAGGAGAGGGAAGGGCTTATAATAATTGTATCTTTTGAAAATAAGAATGGTTCGAAATAAATTTCTTTTACAACTTTTTTCCAAATTGAGTGTAGCACAGTCTCCATATATACATACACACACATGAAATAATTTGAATATATTATATATCCGATTTATATATATAGGTCTAACTTAAAAAGTTTATCCTACTTCAGACCATATATAGGAATCTTTTTCTGGCATCTCATTTACTAGCACTTCAGCAGGTCTACTTTGCAGCCTTAGCTGATGCCTCTCATCATGACCCTTTGGTGTTATACTTTGGAATATTTTCTTGGTTCCTGAAGGAAATAGGAGGTTATAGTCAATATATTTAGTTTTGCATATTCAGAATTACAGAATCTTGGAGGCGGATAAGCTATTAAACTTCATTGAACCCAGTGGGTCATCTGGTGTTTGATTCCCCCCATGTTAGCTTCTCAGGCCACTGTAACAAATTAACCACAGACCTGGTGATTTAAAATAGCAGAAATTTATTCTGTCAGTTCTGGGGACCAGAAGTCCAAACTCAAGGTGTCAGCAGGGCCATAATTTAATTTGAAAAAATTTTAATATTGCTCATTTTAACTTCTTTTTCTGCAAAGTGTAATAATAGGAAATGTATAAATTCTTCCTCTAGTTATTTAATGTAATACTCTCTTAAGTGAACCCTATTTGTGGTGCTGAGGATATTTTTCTGGTTGTACTTGAATGACCACATTTCTTATCTAACCCTTCTACAGTTTGCTAATGAGATTCTCTATGTGTATTCAATTAAGCTGCCTTTGATTTGTATCTTACGTCCTGACGGTAATAGGTTTTACCCTGTTAGATGGATTTAATTTTTCTAGATTGCTTAGTAGATCTATAAATCCATGTACTTTTGCAAAGTAAGATGAATGTGTAATAGTTATAAGCTATTATTAGTATAATAACGTGACCCCTTAAGAATTTGAAAGCAATATAAGATGTGGACTCTGTCCTAATGTTTGATCTGTCTTAAAATTGCCCTATTTGAACCGTTGGCTCTAATCACTCTTTAGATTTGTTTAAATGGTACATACACACCTTGGGGCTCTTTCTATAAAGAAGTCCCAATGAAGTAATAAAGTCAATGTTGTAAAGATTCATTTTTCAGGGTCTAGAGGCTTGATTTTCAGTGTACACTTATTTCAACTTACTTTTCCAACATTTGAAACAGTTTCTACATTTATAACTTGAAAGTGGAGATATTTGTGGGTTTGGAGAACTGTGCAGATAGTCTAGATGTAATAGTTTATGGAATAACGACTATACAGTGTAGAGCTTTAGGACTCTAGTAGATTTCTTCAGCATACTCCTGTGTCGCTATATTCTTGCAATTATGTAGTTTCTTTGCAAGCTACCCCATACACATTTGAATGATTCCCAGATACCCTGTAAAAGCCTGGTGTGTTACACTTTACTTATCCTGAATTTGCTTTGCTGTCATTTTTATGCCTCTCAATTTAGGGCCAAACCACATGTCCTAGTTTATTTTTTATAGTTTCAATTAAATACAAAGCTATATCTTCTTGATGGGTGTGTGAAGCATTTGGTGTTCTGTTGTAGAGAATAAAGACAGTTCATGACCTTGCTCACTCACCAGTGCCTGTAATTTTATAGCACAACAAATTTATCTTTTGGGCACTAGGTAATCAGCAACTTGAGAATTTAATATAAAGCTTTAAATTCTGTTTCCTTTCTTTTATTTTCCTTGGAAAACAGTATCCCCCAAGGTTTATGAAATCTATCTTTTCCTCAGGCAGTTAAAACACAATTGAAATTAAGAATCTCCAATAATTGTCACCTACCATTTATTTCAGTAACATTGTTTTATTAAGAATAATCATACATTGCAAAACAAGGAAGGTAAACTTTTCTTCTTGACCCTAAGTTGTGACTGATCTTTCTGTAGAGAAATCTGTTTCAGAGGTTAAAATGTATGCTTGGTCTTGAGAATCTGGGGAAAATACAGGTAGAATATATTACTAGGAAAATGTAACTATAATGTAGGTATACTCTAATGTCTTCTTCTTCATTTGCAGGAATAGGGAAAGGAAAATAGTGAGGGAAGCTTATTCCCTAAAATAACTCATCACCTGTATAAAGATCTACAGATCTCATGCCTTTGTTGCTGCAATGAGTCAGGTTAAAATGGAAAGTCTTATGAGAACTCTATGACATGAGTACATTGCCTTAGTACATCCAAATAGCCACTCCTGCAAATGTGAATGAATTTTTGATGAATATTTACTCACATTGGTGCTGTTGATTTGACTGGCCACCTTAGAAGAAAGAGAAATCTTATATATTACTTTCATATCTGATTTTTTTTCTTATTCTTTTTCTCCCATTTATTAGAAGTTGAGATGCCAGGTCCAAGATGTTAGAGGAAAAAAATTCTAGATTCTTAATCTTAGAGTGGTAAGTTTATGATATGTAAATAGAAGGCATAGTGACCTCAACTCCTTGAGCTTACTGGGTTACTTTCTTATATATTAGTCCTTTGTTGGATGACCTATTCAATTTTTTCTTTGAAGCAAAGTAGCCATCGTTCTGATTTGACTAATGTCATGAAGATATTAAGGTAATAGGTTGCAGCGACTGTAGCTAAGTGACTTAGTCCCAGTCTGCAGAAGTTTATGCTGTATCCAAGAAACTTCCGCTTTGTCGACAACTTGAAGATTGTTATACTCAAGTTTTGGAAAACTTCTGATCTTACTTTACCTTTCTAGGTTTCCATTATACCCAAAAGGAGGGGAGAAGTTGCAATTTGATTATGGTGTCTATCTCCTGAACAAAAATATAGCACAGGTAAGTGACCCCTCCTCACCCCGTCCTACTTCCCACATACAACCTGCTTCCTTGGAGAGCTGACACTCTTTCTTTATAAATAAGTGCTGCAGCTGACTCTTTTATTTAACCAGCAATAATGCAAAGTTCTTTTTCTGTGGCCACAGTCTTTTTCTGTGCCATTATAAATACCACAGAGAAGCAGTGGGTACAAATTGGAATCCTTCTGCTAAACCCAGAAGCCCTTTACTGAGCTGTGACTTGCTAGTAAGTAGACTGTACTTAAATGTGTGGGTTTTATCATCTGTTTGCCTCTGTAGCTTGACTGGTAGTAGCTTCCTTCTCATACAGCTTTCTTCTCTTAGGCAACTTCTAGGGACTTATTTTGCATGGGGAGTTGTTTACGGAGTAAAAGTTTAGTGACTTGGGCAAGTCCTTAATGGTCTCCTCACCTCTTATCCAGGGCCCCAAAGGAAAGACCAAGCACATTGTCTTTCCAACCCATCTTGGATTTTTCTGACTCTCCCAACATCACACCAGTTCATGTCTCACTTAATGTCTTTCCACATACCATGGGAGGACTACTGGATGCTTGGGTTTGCATTTTCCTGAAAGAAAAATGCAGCATTTCCTTAGCATACTTGGCTCTACTTCAAGAGGTAGACATTCCATAAATTTACTAGTTGTAAAGGAAGATCAGCTTCAGTGCTTTGTTTTTATTCAGACATCCTTCCAATCGAAATACCACATCAGTGAGATCCCACTGTTTGACTGTTATGTAAAGGCATTATCAGCTGTATCCTCAGACCTTTCCTTTTTACAGAAGCAATAAGGTTTGTGATGCTTTTGTTTTTATGAGCCTGAGTTGCCTTTTATCTGTATGATTCTAAAGACTCCCTGAACAATGCCCTTATTTATTCCTGATGGATCTAGAATTATTCTTCCATATGGTGTCATCTTTGCCTCTCTTCCCCTCATCTAACCTCAGTTTAATTTTTTTTTAATTTGGTTTTTATTAAGACTCTGACACTTTTCTGATATTGGATCAAACTTCTAGTTTGCAGTTCTTGATTAATCATTTGCTTACAACCCCACACGCATACTGCTTTTGCTGTTCCTGCTGTCCAGCACATGTTCTTCATTCCAGGCCAGCTGCCTTGCTCACAGCCTCTGGCCCATGACTCATCTTTCCATGTGCCATTCTCCCCACAACTGATGCTTTCCTTCCCTCCATTTTTGGCAGAAAAGTATCTCAGTCTAAGAAACAGGACCTTATTTTCCAGGCTGCTTATTAGCTCACACTACTGATCACAGTTGTCATACCATGGGAAAGGTAAGGCTTAGACAGAAGGGTGCATTAAGGCAGAAGAGATGTTAAGTAAGTTAGAGAGCACCTCCAGTGAAGTCAGCCAAGGTGGAAGAGAGCACATGGACCCTGCAGTCCAGAGTCTAGGAGTCAGGATGTCAGGAAGATTGGCCTCACTTAGTAGAACTAAGTTCTGATCTGAGTTCATTCAGAGATGCTTCTCTCTATCCCATTTCTATTTCTTGCTTTAAGCACATAGATCCTAAGGTCAGAAGTCTATTGGAAGTTTCCAGGTGAAGCCTACTCTTAATTAAGGCTAGGGCTGAAATGCCTGGATTTCCTCATAAATCTAGCTTCAGACACACACTTGTGCATGCACGCACACTCCCACACACGCACACACACCCACGCACAAACACACTCTTAGTTCTTTCTGCTCAGGGCTCAATAGGAGTGGCAGAGTATGGTATAAAGAGGTGCTCAGAATAGTCCCACTTGCTTTGAGGTCAGGACCAGGAGGGAGGCTGACTGTGTGCAGCGGGGAATTTGGGAAGGTCAGCCCTCCATGTCACTCTCAGCTCCAGCACCTGTTTGGCTCTCCTTTTGGAGCACATCCCAAGTAGCCTCTGATTTCATTCTGAACTGAACCAAAGCCACAAGTATGCTGAACTAGTTTTATTCATCTGTTTAAAAATGGATTACTTCTGGTAATTTTGTATCCTCTGCAACTTTATACTCTTTGAAACGGAGAGATTACATTTGTGTGTGTCTTTATGATCACTAGGTTAACCACCCTGACTCCACAGGGAGCAAGTATCTTGCTCTCTGGTGTTTTATCATCACTGTTTTGGCAGTTTTAAAAGGAGAAGACAGTAAACTTCTTATAAACAGACTTTCTTAGGTTTCAGAGTTCATTCAGGAAGCCTCTTTTGAGCATTTAGAAAGAAACTCTTAGCAAATTTGTGACCAACTCCATCTCTGTTCCATCTCTGAACTGTTTCTTGGGGACAGTTTCATTTTGTCTTTAGCCTTATTACCATCACTTTATTACATTTCAATTTATAACAAATCAAAGAACCATTAGTTATTGTGGCTTCTAACCAGGTATTATATTAATAAGATATTTCCAGCTTGTGAAGGTTTATTTTTATATACATTTATACCGATACATGTTGTCAAAGGGGAGTTTGTCTTCTCAGCCAGTCTCATTTATACCCCATCTCTAGAGATGTGAACAAATCATACCGTTAAAATGGCCCCACCTCAGTAATTTATAAGGCACGTTAGTGGAGGTGGATGAAAGCATTGGCATGTGTTAAAGTGCCAGAGAAAAAGGAGTGAAGTCATTTAATACTGCATCCATAACTTGGTTGAGGATTTGAATAGTCAATAGGACCTTTCATCACAACCAGAAGTAGTAGTAAAATCACTTTTTTGGTAGAGGAAATGACAGAATTTAGTAATATTTGTTACTTCAGTATTTGGGATCAGTCCAGCCCAAGATTTGAAAGCACAGACTTGAAAAGACAGGCCTTCAAGTCGAAATCCTCAAGTGTCGTTTGAAGAGCTGAGGGGTTTGGTAAGGCCTGCTGGCCCTTTTCCTGTCACTGCTGTGTAAAGGGGTGTGTGTGCTGGGCTGGGTATTGAAAGCAAATAAAGCAAAATGCCTTGTATTTAGCGCCGTTTACTAATATGTTTCAAGTGCTGGCCCCTTTGGCTGGAAATAGTCCTCCCTGATGGGCAGCCTGTCACACTGTAGGAATGGGTCTGGCACAGTTCAGGTACAGTGTAATTAACGCTGATTTGAAAAACCAGCTCCTGCCATAATTGTCAGTAAGTTGATAAGGACATTATATTAGTATTTGTGTATAGCACAGTAGTTTGCTTTTAGTTCCCAGAGCATAGAAAGTAGTAAATCAAAAGTTAAAAATACTTTTACCTTAGGTTTGTGGAGAGCTTTTACTTTATAAGGTACATGCACATACATCTACGTGACCCTCATCATCACCCCGCAGAGTGAAAAAGGGCAGGTGCTGGTAAGTGAACATGTAGACAGGTTGGCTTTTGACATCTGTCCCTCCAGTGTCTTATCACATAGTCTGACAGCCTTGGCAAACAGTCCTTACTTCCATAACTTCATTGTTTTATATATTTCTGTCCTAAAGTGCACAGAATCAAAGAAGATGACATTCCCAGCTAGCAAAGGAACTGAAAGTTCTTTGAAAACAGAGACAATAACTGTTTTGCACATAATAATATTTCCACTGGTAAGCACAATGCTGAAAACAATGTCAGTTCTCAAAAAAGGTTTAATGCATGAATGAATGAATGGTGATATAGCATCATCACATGGCTAAGAAACTGAGATCCAGAGAAGTAAAGTGACTTGCTTAAAATTGCTGAATTAGTTGATTCAACAAGGATTTGTTGTGCATCTACTGAGTGCTATATATACTGAATTAGGGCTCAACTGATTGAGCAGTGAATAAGACACCCAAGAGCCCTGCTTCGTGAATAAGCTAGACACAAGTGGACAAATATTGTATGATTCCACTTATATGAATTATCTAGATTAGACAAATTCATAGAGACACAAAGTAGATTAGAGGTTACCAGGGGCTGAGGGAAAGGGGAACTGGGGGAGTTATTACTTAATGGTTACAGTTTCTATTTAGGATGATGAAAAAATTTTGGAAAGAGATAGTGGTTATGGTTGTACAACATTGTGAATGTAATTAATGCCTCTGAATTTTACACTTAAAAATGGTTAAAATGCAGGGATGGGGAGTATAGCTCAGGGGTAGAGCATGTGCTTTGCATGCATGAGGTCATGGGTTCAATCCCCAGTGCCTCCATTAAGAGGGAAACAATGTTTAAAATGGACAGATTTTCTGTTACATATTTTACCACAATTTAAAAAATTTTAATATACCAAAACCCATTGAATTGTATGGTATGTGAATTGTATTGCAATAAAGCTGTTTAAAAAGAAGGCCCCTGCCTTATAATCTAATGAAAAGAGGCAGACAATAAACAAGTAATTTTAGATTGTGATGAGTGCTGTGTTGGAAACTGATTAGGGGATATAATCGGAAATAACTGGAGTGGGTCCTACTTTACTTTAGATAAAGTTGTCAGATAAGCTTTATGGAGGGAATAATAATTGAGCTAAGACATGGATGATGACAAGGAACCAGCCATGCAAAAAGCTCGGAAATAGTAAATCCCTTAAAGCCATGGAACCCACTAGTGCAAAGGCCCTGGGGTAGGAAAGAGCTTGTGTGTTCAGGTGACAGGTAAAAAGCTAATGTGTAAGGAGCATAGAAATTAAGGGGAGAAGTAGCCAGGGAATATATTATATGAGGCCTAAGAAATTACAGTAAAAACTATGAGTTTTATTCTAAATACAGAGGGAAACCAACAAATAATTTAAGCAGGAAAGTGACTTGATTTGATACGTTTTTCCAAAGATCACTCTGTCTGCTCTAATGGATTGCAGGGGACTAGAAGAGAAGTAGAGTTTCACCTTAGAAGGCTATTTTAAAAGACCAGATGAGGGTTAATGGGAGCTTGGGCTAGAATAGTAGGTGTAGAGATGGAAGAAGTGAACAGGTTTAAAATACATTATGGGTATTCAGCATCACTAATCATCAAGGAAATACAAGTCAAAACCATGAGATATCCCTGTTAGAATGGCCATCATCAAAAAGATAAG